AAGAGTACATAATAGGAGAATAATATTATCTCCTATTATGTTTCCTATTATAGTGTGATATATATCTCCGATTATATATATCTCCTAGTATGTACTCTTGATATATATATATATATGTATATCAAGAGTACATAATAGGAGATTATTACTCCTATTATGTGTGGAGATTATTACTCCTATTATGTACTCTTGATATAATTATAATAATGTGATAGACGTAAATGCTTTTAGTGAATGCTATGAGTTAAGGAATGAGTACATGCGACTATTCCTCGCTAAGCTGGTTGCAGCAAGTTGTTTGGAATACATTCAGATTTAATTTTCAATTGGTTAATGATTATTACTTCCGAATGCAATTTATCGGTTGAAATCGTCGGTTAAGATGACTAATCAAATATACTTAATCAAATCGCCGGAATACTCAATGCTCACTCATACTCAATACTTGGTACTCAATACCCAAATTTTTGCTTCGGACGCATTTTTATAAAAGTCACGTATTATTTTGTCACAGTGGACGCCAATTACCCGGAAACTGCGTCGCAGCCCGGCGAGGAAGCAGAGACCGCAGTTTCTGACGACGAGGGTGACGTCATAGGCGAGTACGTCACTGAGGTCGAGGAAAATCCCGAAATGACCATCATCAACAGTCGGGACCGCACGATCATGATGCCGACGGGAGCCTTGTCCGTCTCCGGCCACCACCCCGAGATGGCGCCCGAGGACGGCAGCAGCACCGACGGTGGCGCCGCCTGGAAGCTGTCCGGTTGCGTCGACGGCGCCGGTCGCATGTACGAGATCGGAGAGCGCATGACGATTAGCGGCGACCCGTGCGAGATGTGCCGTTGCCATGACAACGGGAAGCCACTGTGCGCGATGGCGTCGTGCGCGGGACCACCGAGCCGCTACTGCCGCGCCATCTACACCGCCGACAACACCTGCTGCCCCGAGTGGGATTGCTCGGCGCCGACGCTGACGCCATCTGGCGACTACGACGTCGTCAACATCGTCGGCGACGGTACCGGGATTGAGGAGGAGCTACATGAGTACGTCGAGCCGCTGTCGCTCGGCTGCGTCTTCAAGGGCTTCCTGTTCCAGAACGGAGAGAGCTTCCGGCGGGGCTGCGACGCGTGCTACTGCAGGGACGGACGCGCCGAGTGCGTGGCGGTGAAGTGCAATGCGCCGAAGCCAGGCTACGAGTGCATCATCGTCAACAGGGGTAAACCAAAGTCGTGCTGCCCGCAATACCGATGCAAGAAAACTAGGTAAGCTGCGCTGCCGTGCTTGGGGTCTGTACGTGTAACAGCAATCAGTGCAGAGGAATTATATATTTCTCATATATATATATATATATATATATATATATATATAATATATTTATATATATATATATAGCAATCGAAATGATTTTGTTAAATTGCTCGAAATTCATGACGTGTATTGGATGATTAAATGAATTATTGCGTGTACGTGCATGGGTAGATGCGTTATATTTTTGCTCTAATGTTGGCGAAACACTCATGTTCTCCTTGTAATTTTTACGTATAGAGGACCAAAGAAGGTCGGAGAGGAGTCGAGACTTGCCGCCCTGTGGGCTAACTGGAAGCAACAGCAGCTGGAGCAGCAGGGGCTGCGACGCGGTAGGAGGCAGTAGAGGCGCCTCTCCTTCATGCCATATGAGTGGATCCACCGACAACGCAGAGAGTTCCGGGAGATAGCGCAGGAGGTCGCTACATTCGCGCGCCATCAGTGTTGGTGGCGCCATCTTGCGGGAGTCACCGAGGCGGCGTCGACTGCGGCGTCTGCTGGAACCTGCGATTGCGACGTGTCCTTTTATACTGAGTGTAACGGGTAGGGTCGTTGAACGGGGACGGGTCGTCGCGGCCTCTCTCCGGAAGAATTGCTAAATGACTCGAGCGATAACGCGTGTCGAATCGTGGGTGGCATGCATGTAGGCTCATGCTGTCGCTGGCACACGGTTCACCATTCGTGGCTCGCTGGGAGAGCCCGAAGTACGACACGCGTTCAGCCCAAAAGCGAATACATTGCAATTCTTCGTCAGCGATCATATATGTGTGTGTACGTATATGATGATGTTATATATATATATATATATATATATATATCAAGAGTACATAATAGGAGAATAATATTATCTCATATTATGTTTCCTATTATAGTGTGATATATATCTCCGATTATATATATCTCCTAGTATGTACTCTTGATATATATATATATATGTATAATTACTTATGTATATACTCATATTTCAAGTATTTTGAAGTATTCTTCATTGAATGATACTCGAAGCGGTTTTATACATTTTGCTATTCATCTTGTTTGTTCGAGTGGAAGCCTGTGCGAGGTGATCATATCTATCTATATAATTATATATGTAAATTAGTCACACTTAAGTCATATCATGAGTCCCATTTGGCGTTGGAAAATACCGAAAGCGAGAGCTGGCGAACGTACGTCGCACTTAAACTTCCGTGTGTACCCCGTAGAGAGTAAATCCGCCTCGCCCATGGGTGTCTGTGGCCGGGAGGCTGAGTGAAACAATCGGGCGCTGAACTTGCCGCGAAATACCTGCGTTCGTCTGCGCAGCTGCTGTTGCCGCGTCTCAACGACGTCCCCGTCGGCAAACGGGACGGGGCGAGGCTTGGCAGACAATGCGCAAACGTACGGAGCTTCTGCTACCTACAAGGCAAGCAGGCAGTCGCGTCCCCGCCACCTTTGGGGCGCATTCGATTGGAGCATACAGATTTCATGTCGGCTATGTCGTCAGCATCATCAAACGCTGCTGGGTTCTTGTCAAACGTCCTCGCAGCCCCACCCTAGTGTACTCTTGTATAGAGCACGGGATACCTGCGGTAACTCGTAACTTGTAGAAGGTCCATGCATCTCTGTTCGATGCTTTCCTGATCGCTGACTCAACGCTTTATTGATTTGTCAGAGATAGAGTGTAAAGTTTGTAAATACGAGACCAGATCGAATCATATCGTGAGGGGGTCCGGGCGTGAGTATTATCCGAACTATAACGAGGGCTCTATATCCACATCTGAAGCTGGGACTCCAGTCTCTTGTCACCACCCCGGTCCATCATGGCCGCCACCCCGGTCCATCATGGCCGCACTACCGGCCAATCATGGCAGCTCTACCGCCCCGGCCCATCATGGCCGCTCTACCGGTCCATCATGGCCGCCGCTAGACTGTTCATGATTTCACGTAGCGGCTGGTGTGCTTTGGTGGTGACACTGGTGAGTCTACTGCTCGGTTCAACTGTTGATTAAAGCCTGAGATTACAAAAAAACAAAAAAACAATTTAGACAGAAAGTTAATTAAGCTTTTAAATAAAAAACATTGAAGCGTAAAATTTTGTGCGTAGCGGGCTATGCAATTTGTAAATAGTTACCATATGAAATTATGGCAGAGTCTTTATTATTGATATTTTATAAAGAGTGCTTGTGAGCGAAAGGTTTTTTTTATATTATATAAGATATTATATATGCGCGTCCATAAAATCAGATAAAACGATTTGAAAAACATGTATTGATATAAATTTATTGACTGTTCACGCAGTCGTTATTGCTGTTTTGTGTGTGTGAAATAAACTCATCTGAACAAAGCGTATTTACCAAAACATTACCGTGTTATGTTGTCCCCATTAAAAGCGATACATCCCGAGTCAAGTTGTGCTTGTTATGGGACACCAACACCAACGCATGCACACCTCCGCGTACTAGAAGAGATTACATTCGCACCAGTAATTTGACAAGAAAGGTTTTTATCCGAATTTCGAACTTTAGTAGACATAGACGCCAGCCTAATCGTACCAAATATTCTTGCACTCGCACATGCCCGGTACATGGCAAATTATATAATGTGTTTTTGAACGTGTGTTTTTTTAATTAAAAATTATATAGATATAATAAGATGCGTCATAGTGGCTTCATGAGAAAGAAATCCCGACATCTCACTTTTATAGGTATATGAAGTGCCAGGTTTTGCCGGCTAACACACACAATAATAATTCGATAGAGAACATGATATATATTGCTGTGCTTCCAACCTTTAGCAGATATTTGTTACATTGGCAGCTATGTAACAAATGACTGCTCTATGAAAAAGGAACTTGCAGCTCGTATCCAAGCAACATCATGTGTATTTGGTCGACTACGGCATAGAGTGGTCAACTCACGTGACTTTACAATAAACACTAAAGTCAAAGTCTACAACCAGTGTCTTATGCCACTTCTGATGTACGGCAGTGAAATCTGGACTTTGTACCATCATCAAGTTCGACAACTGAAAACAATACAACAACGTCACCTGCGCTTAATCATGCATATTACATGGGATCATTACATCAGTAACAGAGCAGGTGTTGAAGACATCGAGTTGAAGCTAGTTAGAAGTCGTCTGCGTTGGTTTGGCCACGTCTGTAGAATGGATAATGCCAGACCAGCAAAGGCACTTCCATACAGCGAGCTAGCAAATGGATCCCGATCTGTTGGTTGCCTTAAATTGAGATATAAGGATACCTGCAAAAGTGCTCTGAGGTGTGGTAATGTTCTTGATCAGTGGATGAATGTTGTAGACAACAGACAAGAGTGGAGAGGTCTTGTGCAAACAA